TAGCTAACCTGCGCCTGGAAGCCATGGGAGGGAGGGGAAGACCTAAGCGAAACCAGCAGAAGAATGCAACGGATGAGCAGCGTTCCTCAACAACTAGGAATGCTGTGTTAGAGCTCTTTGTATCTCCGAAAGGGATACGAATCGAAGAACCAGATGGAAGATCAAATTTGAAGAACATGCAAGCTGAAGAAAACAGTGATGAAGGAGATCTAGCTAGGAACAAAGGGAAAATGAAGGAAGGGATGAGTACCCCAGCTCCAATGGTAGCTATAGCTAAAGGAGATGAGTCGAGGAAGAAAGAACAAGGGAGCAATTTGAACACAAATGGAACAGTACCATGCACTCAAAGTACTGTAGAGAAAACCAAAGATGATGGGAAGCAGATCGTATCTAGGACCCAAACATGGGCAAATGTGGTGGTTGGGAACAAGCTGGCTATGAAGGGCATGAATTTGCAATTTATTGCCCCAATTGTGCAAAACGGAGAGAAAAGGGTAAAGCTCGAAGCAGAAGATGTAGAACAGGAGACTGCAAAATGAAAGAAGGCCATTGTCATATATGTAATTGGTGAATCTCCCTCAATTGGAGCCATGGACAGATTTGTGAATTCAATGGGTAAGTACTCGACAAAACCTCAGATCTACTACCATAATGAAGACTATTTCATCATACGATTCAGTAGTATTGAGGAGAGGGACCAAATATTGTACTCAGGGCCACATACGATTAATAATCGACCAATAATTATGAAGGCATGGTCGGAGGAGTTCAACCTACATGATGAGGTGCTAAAGACAATCCCATTGTGGGTTAAATTGCCTAACCTACCTGTTAATTGGTGGAGTATGACAACATTAAGCAAAATAGGTAGTGCTTTGGGTAACCCCATCTATGCCGATGAGTGTACGACTGGAGCAGTAAGAATTTCATATGCAAGATTATTAGTAGAAATGGATGTCACAAAGCCACTTCCAAGACAGGTGAAACTACAGGATCCTAAAGGGAAGGAGATGATGCAGGAGGTGGAGTATGACTGGGAACCCAAATACTGCAGTAAGTGTTTGAAAATAGGTCATGATTGTTCTGAAAACAGGAAGCCAATACAGCAACAAAGAAATATTCAGTAGAAGAAGACTAATAAGGGGAGAATGGTATGGGTTAGAGCAGATAAAGAAGAGGGCAATGAAACTAAGGAGAAAGACCAAACAAAAGAGAGCTCAGGACAACAAATGACTGAGCCAGATCAAGGGAGAGATGGAATGCAAAGCAAGGAAGCAGGATGGATAACAGTAGCAGGCAAATCTGCAACAAGAGCAGCCACAGCAAAATAACAAGAAGTTCACAGTATTGATGAAGTTAATACATTCCAGAGCTTGATGTATGATCATAGGAATGAAGTAGCAGGTACTAGCCAGACCAGTAGTCAAGGAGAGCAGGGGTACTTTCACTATCCTTATTTCATTCCAGTATGAGTGTAGTAACTTGGAATGTTAGAGGGATGAATAAAACATATAAGCAGAAAGAAGTAAAGGAGTTTGTTAGAATAAATAATAAAGCTGTAGTAGCTATAGTAGAGCACAGAGTTAAAGATTTGAAAACCATTGATATAATCAGGAAGATAGCTCCAGGATGGGAATGGGTATCTAATGCTAGAACAGGACAAAAAGGAAGAATATGGGTAGTATGGGATCCTAGAATATACATCTTTGTTCCTAAGGAAATTGATGAACAATTTATACATGGGCAGATTAGTATGAAGTCAAAGCCAGTTAATTTTGGTTTCACAGCAGTATATGGGCTTCACACCATCAAAGACAGGAAGCCTTTGTGGGCTAAACG